CTTTCAGATAATTTTTTCCCATTGTTATTACAGTAAATAGGCCTTATGTGTGTATACATACATAAAAAAAAGATTGAGTAAGTTGCATACGTAGTTTTTCCATGAATCGATAAATCCCAAAAAGAAAGGTGGGGGGTGGGGAGGTCCTGTGGTTCTTCACCGGGAAAATTTTGATTCCTAGGTGGCGGGAAATGAGCTTTCCCCGACTTCTGTGGTGTCTTTTAATGACTTTTAAATTCTTCAAAATTCAAGGTCCCCCCTCCCCTTTGAAAATGATTCAATTAATCAATGAACTCCAAAGATAAAGGGTCCTGGTTCCCCGGAAAAATTTCGATTTCTAGATGGCGGGAGATGAGCTTACCTGACTTCTGAAATGTCTTTTAAAGTCTTTTAAAGTTCTTCAAAATTCAAGGTTTTCCCCTCTTTAAAAAGGTCAGGTAAATTTTTCTCATTTTTTATTTTATGTGTGTATACATACATAAACAAATGAGTAGTTGCATGTGTATTCCTTTTTCCATGAATCGATAAATCCCAAAAAGAAAGGGTGGTCCGGAAAATTTTAATTCTTAGATGGCGGAAATTGAGCTTTCCCGACATTTGAAGTGTGGTTTAATGAATTTTATGTTCTTCAAAATTCTAATTTTCTAATACCAACAAAAAAAAAAAAAAATCAGTTCACGGGTCCTGAAAAGGTAGGTCTAGAATCCTTTTCTTTTTCCCCTTTTTTTGTTGCACAAGGGAGGGGTCAGGACCCATGATCCCCATCCCCCAGATCCGCCAATGTGAATTGCGAGAAAATGTAACTCGGTCGGGTACTGGATAAACATTCTCTTTCCCATCCTTCTCCTTCTTCCCTCCTTCTTTTTTTGCATTTCCAATCATACAAAATTCTCCAGACATTATATATTTTTCGCCAAAAAGTGGGGGGCCGGGCCCCCTGGCCCCCGCTTCCGCCGCCCATGCTGTATTGATCAATGGACAACTAGCCACCATGACTAGTAGTTAGATTATATATGCAGTAGCATAAATTTATATATAACTGACTTAATAAAAAGCAATTATTGTCAAGTTATTTCAGACCCTATACAAAATAGGAGATAGAAGCCATTATTTTCTATAGGGTCATCAGACTATAATTGCATGACATTATTATTTATCCAGTTCAAATGATAATAATTATATTACCTATTATTTAAATTTCACAGGATATCAATTCAAGATGGCTACCAGTAAGTTGAATCAGTTTCTGGAACATGTTGATGAGAAGGTCTTAGAGTGTACCATCTGCTTTAAGAGACTTCAAAATCCAAAATCCCTCACCTGCCTCCATAGTTTCTGTTTAGCATGCCTGGAAGATTGGGTGAAGGAGAAGGGTAAGCTGACTTGCCCAACTTGCTCAAAATCATATCCAATTCCAAAAAGAGGGCTTGAGAAGCTTCCACCAAATACCTTACTAAATAACTTATTAGAAACTTTGTGAAAAGGAAAGACAAGTAAAATACTACTGCCAGGATTGCAGACAGTATTTGTGCTCTACTTGTAGTGATCAACATAAGAAGTTTAAAACCATGGCAAATCACAAGTTACATTTAATGGAGGATGTGCAATCAATGAGCCCCTCTCAGATGACTTTGTTACATCCGCCTCAGTGTTCACATCACAGTAAACCTTTGGAGTTCTACTGCACAGATTGTAAAACTCCAATCTGTGTAAATTGTATACTTATGGACCACAATGCATGGGATGGAAAACACAAATCAATCAACATTTCAGACGCATTCCAAATATTTAAAGAAACTTCAGCCACCTTGGAAAAATCTGCCCAACACTTTGTTAACAAATTAGAAGATGGTCTCAAAGCTGTTATTCAGAATGCTACAAAATTAGACAAATGTAAAGACACATGTTTGAGAGACATAGACAATCACGTTGAAGAAATATTAAAAAAAGTAAAGGAGAATAGAGACAAAATGAAAAACGAAGTAGAGACAATCTACAAAAGAAAAAAGAAGGTAAATGATGTACAAATGGATGAATTTAAAGCAATATTATCCGATATAAAAACAAAACTGTC